GGACTGGAGAGCAAAGAGGTAGTGGTTGATTATATTCATTAAAGGAAATGGAAAATTAACTCCTTAAGAGGCATTATCTTGTAATACTTCAATATCATATATTCTGCACTTCCCTAGAATAGTTCAGTGTATTTCTTTCGTGTGCCTGGTAATAATCTCAGGAAACAGGACTGACTGAGTATCATGATGTCTATTTAGCATTTAAAGGAACTGAAATGTGGAAATGTACACATCTCTTTCCCCCCTACTCTAAAGTCTAATTCAAATGCAATTGCAACCAACATTTCACTAGGAAGGTAGCTTGGACATTTGAATAGACAAATGGATATTTGGCACTTCTGTCCATTTTTCAACAAACTTGTCAAGTACAATTTTGGTAGCTTGAAGGTTGCAGAAGATGCAACAGGTGGCTGCAGCCCTCAGCTCTTCCTTCTCTAAAGGAAGAAATGCAAGATTGGGAAGGTTGGTCTTTAACTGTGGCAGGTAAACACAGTCTGGTCCCAAAGTGAGTTGAGACTACTGGGGAATGGACTCTGTGCCCATCACTGTAGAATTGAGGTTACCAGTTGGGAAATTAGAAGCAACTTTCAGGTAGCATATAGTTTGCTGAATCCAATTCTTATCTATCCTATATATTAGGATTTTCATTTTTAGAGCAAAAATTTGAGTTCATCCCTCAAAATGCTTATTTCATCTCTTTTTTTGGAGTTAATGTATTTTTAGGGAAGTGCTGCCGGCTCTGATTTCTCCAACTGTCAATTCCTTATCTCCTATCTGGAAATCACTGCAGAGCCTGGATCATTGGAGGCAGTTTGGGGGCCATCTCCCATTCCCAGAATGGCATCAAACCTTAAATTGGAAGGTGTCGAGGGAGGGGAAGAAAGTATTTCCAGCAGTAAAATGAACTAGGATTAAACAACTCCCCAACAAAACAAAAACTGAAAAAATGAGAACTGGGACCTAAATGCCTTGAGGTGGTGAAATTGTCACTTATCAGAGCAGAACCAAACAGCACAGCCTTCAGCTACAGCCAGCCTGAGAGCTGAAAGACCAGCAGTGAAGGGAAGGAAGCTTCGAGGAGGGAGCAGAAACAGAATAAAATAAGTCAAAATAAAATAAAAGCAGCCGAGACTAGTGGAAAGGTACAAGCGTGGTGACTGACTGGCTGCAGATGGAGACCGTAATTTTCTTAGGCTATCAGTGTCTAGCAGGCAGTGACAGGGAGGAAGGGTGTCAGGTCTGAGGAGGAGAATACCGGAACCATTTTGTTGTGTAGAAAGTCACCGTGCTATGCGTCATGGCCCATGAAGGGCTGATTATATTACAGCATAAAGAAATAGTGGCTGAGAATTATGATCTTCAGCTATCAAGAAAACTTCGAATCATGTTTGTGCTTTTTACTAAGGAAGGAAAATAAGTTTCTAATACATGAGGTGTTTCATTTGAAAGTGCAAGTTTGAGTTAAAAGGTTAAATTCAGTGATCTGGAAAAGTGTTATGTAGAGCCACGTATCCCTTGAAATATTGGGAAATTGATGTGCAAGTTATGCTGCGTCTCATCATTGAGATGAAAAGATTGAAAATTAGATTTCACAGAACAAAAATCATTGCTGGAGGCAGTTTGTGAGACAACAATGTTGAAGAATGAAAGGAGTAAAGATAAAGATGAACACACACACACAGATACACATACACACACACGCTCACAGAGACATACACCAACTCACATAGACACACACTCATACACACAAACATACACTCCCATATTCACACATACACTCACTCACGATCAATGCCCTCCAGATTCACTTTATTCTTTTCCCTCCCTTGCCTTTTTCTAGAAAGAGCTGCATTTGCTACCCTTCCTGTTTCAGAATTGCTAATGTGAAATTTACCCAGGTGGAAGGACCAGGAGGACAGACGTGTTTGCGGAGTGAAAATTCGTGGCAGAATGTGGGCTATTCTCTCCCTTCTGTGTTATCAAGTGACTTCTCTCTCCCCCACTCCCCATGTCAAGTTGGCCTTAGGCACACATTTCAAGGGCTTTCTGTGCTCATGTATTATTAACAAGTAATCCCTTTCTCCATTCCCACGGCGCGCCGAATGAGTCCTGCGGTGAGCTAGCACTTTAGCAAGGGGAAGTTGGCAGTAAGAGTCTGTTATTTCATCATCCCAGCAAGCAGAACAACTAACTGCCTCCCTACCTGTTTGTTTACTAACTAAATGGACACCCACAAAATGTCAGTAGGACGGGAGGTCTGGGATCTTGCAGTTTCAAGCCACTGCATCTCTAGCCCGTTCAGAGGAGAGATTGCTGGGCCCCAGGAGATGGTTTTGAAGGAGGAGGGTCGGTTGAAAGGGATCAAGGCCACTGCAGTAGGGCTGGGTGGAGATCACCTCGGAGATCCCTGGAATGCATGATTTGTCTTCTCACTTTCAAAATACAGGGTTCTAAGGCACATGTCTGTGAGGAAAGAAAAATAGAGTATTCTGAGCTATGTGAGATATGAGAAATTTATCAGGCCCAGAGAGACAGGAGTATGGAACTTCAATCATTCTCTCCCCCACCCTGCACCCCTGCCTGGGGGTAAAGTTTTAAAGGCATTTTGTTCCAGATTAGCTGCCTAACACATTATCTTCTTGTTGCTGGAATTTGCAATACAAAGAACAGTGTATAAGCAATCAATAGCTTATGTTATTTTAACATAAGTTCTTGGTAAACAACTCAGGAACTTCTTTCTTCTTTTTCCTTTAAAAATCCACTTGAATGCTCTCCAGGGCAGCAATCCTCAAGCTTGGCCCAAACCAATTCTCTACTTATGTTAATTTTGCCTCAGCTTCTTCCTTTTAGTTGACAGCTGAGATGCCCCGAACGTTGAAGGGACAGGTAAACATTTAGACAGTGAACAGATAAAGTAACGAGAATTACAATGTCTTGAGTTTAGAGAGAGCTTTATGTTTGCTCTCTGACATTTGTTTACTGTGTGTGAGGCTTTTACAAGTGAATCCCAGGGTGGGATAATAATAGTGAGCCGTGTGGCACCAGCTGCCGGCAAGGCTTTGGGTGCCGAAGAATTGGTGGACATTTTACAGGCTAATAGATTTTTTTTTTTTTTTAAAACTGCAGTAGTTCTGTGGGAATTCCTCTGCAAATTTTAAAATAAATTGTAGGAGTAGGAAAGTGAGACTTTCTCTTTCTCTCTCTCTCTTATTTTTTTCCAAAGAGCAAAAATGAGCCAAATTTAGAGCTAGTTTTGAAAGCATTTTCTCACTTTGCCTTAGGAACAGAGAGTGAGGAAAATCAAGTGTCATCAGCACCGGCTCTTTGAATGCGGGTGAGAGGAAACACAAAGCCCCGGCTTATTTCAATTGAGCAAGACAATGCGAGAGATTTAGAGATTTTAGGTCAGAAAGGACCTGTGAGCTCCTTTGTTCCAAAGTTTGTCCTGTCGCTTTTGAGGCATCTGTTTTCCAGTGACTATAACCCAGGTTTCCTGAATCAGGGCTGCCTGCTCGGGTGGCTCATAGAGGGAAGGGATCCTGGGCCCAACTGTGGGCGTTGGGAGCCACATGGTGGGTTAAGAGGAAGATGAGGAGGAGGAAGAGGTTCAGTTGGGCTCAGGGATCTGAGCAGGCAGAGGTGTTTTCAGGGAAGTTGAGATGCAGGACAGAAATACCATTCAAAGAGTCAACATTGTAACCCTGGAGGTGGGGACAGATTCTGCCAAGGTTATCTCAGGACTAATCTCTCATTCCACTTCCAGACTTCAAACTAGGAAAAATGTGTTCTTTTTCCTTTGAGCTAAGGTGGGCTATCAGCTTAGCACACCTGCCCTTGTTTCATCCTTTCTTGCATGTCCACTCCAGGACCTGCCAGGATTGTTGTGAAAGGCTCAAAATAGGACCCTCTGAGCTAGTTTTCCAATTCCCTGTCCCAGAATTTTGGGGTGTGCCTGGAGGGAGAGAGGGACGCTGAATCTTCTCCATCCTGCCTTTCAGGTTTCCTGTCTCAGGATTCCTGGTAACATTTCCTTTGGGGAAAAGAAGGGAGTTCTGTCAATTAACAAAACATTTGAAAAATCACTCATCCACTCTCTTCTCCTCATTTTACAAATGAGGAAACTGAGATCAAAATAGGTTAGTAGACTGACCCAGGATTCTGCCATTAATGGCACAGATTGAGTTACAGCTCAATTTTTCAACCACTAGGGCACTGGTGATGATTTTAAAGAACTAAGATAAGGAGAATAAGTCTAAGTGTTAAATGCACTAGCTGCATTTCTATTTTAAACTACTAATACTTACGTGGTAGTAATCCTTCATGTTTCTGTGATATATCTATTTAATAAGGGTATAGTAACATGTGGACTGGAGGAGATTAATAAATTCTTTTTTTTCCTATAGGGTTATAATATAGTAATTCCAAAGACCTGTTTTGCTGGTTTGCTTCTTTCATGAAAGCGGAATCAAAGTCAGATTTCTTGTTTTAAATAATTCAGTTGATAACTGAAATTTAACCAAGTGGTGAGTTTTGTTCACATTTTTCAGAACAGCCCTTAAGAAACAAAAATAATTATGTTTGTTGACTTTAAAAATTTATAGGAATACTTACTTTTTCCCACTTTCTCCCTTTTTCTCAACTTGAAAGCTTAACCTCATTTGATCATCTTCCATTCAACTTTCCAACATTGTCCATACTGTCGTGTAGTAACCATGCAGTGTTTGTCTTCGATAGGGGATAAAATGCGACCACTATCTAGGGGTGAATAAAAATATCTAACGGTATTAGCACACCAGTATAAAGTATACGGTAGAAAAAATGTAAAGTTGGAATTATGTCCTCTTTTCTAGTTTCTCTGGTGTTAATATTTTCTGGAAAGCATCCTCAAGGCTTGTCCTAGCTACCGTCTTCCTAACATTGTCCCAGGTGTTGCAGTTACTAATGTGAGCAAGACGTCCTCCTAGCCTTCGCGAGTGTACCCAAGAGTTATATAAAGGATATTCTGGGAGCCAGGAGAAGGAGCAAATAAAGCAGACTGCACAGATGGAGCATGGAAAGTCTTTTAACAGAAACGAATACTTTCAGACCCGTTTTGAAGGACTGAGTAGGAGTAAACTAAAAGAGAAAAAGCAGGACAAAAGAAGCAGCACTTTGGAAGCTCAAAGCCGCACTGGAAACACAGCCTTTCAGGATGTCTGAAAGAAAGGGGCAAGTCTGTTTGTGTGGGGTAAGAAATGCGGGGAGACAAACGGACAGTGGACAGATTGCAGAAGGCTCTATGTGCTGAGACGAGGGTGCAGACCAGAGTTTTAAACCGAGAATGCAACAGGGAAGGATTTCAAGCTTGGAGTGAGAGGGAAGACTACGAGCGTGCAGTGATAAGGCAAAGCTGAAGATTCCAGAGCAAAGGCCACGCCCTACAGTTGCCATGGAATGGGGTGGCTCAGTGGGCTTTGGAGGTAAAGTCTGCAGTTGAGAAGTTCAAGGGTAGTAAGTACTTAATGCCAGGGTATAAGGTCAATCATCCCTTTTAAGACACAGATATCATCTGCAGCATTTTCAGGAACAGAGATAACAGAAGAAAAGCAGGCAGCTACTAGATATTCAAATCTTCCACAAATGTCAGAGAGAGAGTCAGGCAGTTGATAGAAGAGACTGGTAAAGCAGGGTACCATCAGCCTCAACACGGGTGTTTTTATTTCAAGGTAGGGGAGCTGTGCTTTGGAAAAGCAATGAGGAGGTAACAGGAAGTCTCTTCCCCTCCTAAATCCTGTGTTCGTGGAGGAGGGTGGGAGACTGAGTTTTCTCGTCTTGAGAGGGAGTTACATACAAGTTTAAGGGAAAAGAGTCTGTATTTTCCACCTAAATGATTCTGAAAGAATCAGGTAAGTAGTTGCTTAGAAATAATTACTAAATGTTGCATAAAGAGATATAGCTCTTCTATGGTGTAACAGATCCTGGCTACTCAATAGCTTTTTGCATTTTTTCCTGGGCTATGGAAATATTTACAGCTTTCCTTTACATGTTAATGTCTCTCATCTTACCACTGACAGTTTATTTCTATCAATTTGCCTTCAAGTGAACTGGAGTTTCATATTTGTGATTTTATTTTTACCAAAATGAAATGGCTTATTTTTATCAAAAAATACTATTAAAAAATACTATAGAAACAGTAAAAAATAAGATTTTACCAAGAATACTATTGTGTGCTAGATGCTGGAGGCATAAAAGGGAAGAAGTTATGAACTGTTGCTTTTCGTGGACAGTTGGTGTGGAGTTTTAGTAAGAATTTGAACACTTATATATTTATATCTTTCTTTTAAGAACCAATAAAAAAAGAGCAACTCTTTATAGCAGCATTATATGACATCATCTTCAAAGATCAATGTGTGTACAACATTTAAATAAATCAATATCTAGGTGTGATCATTAATCCTTAACCATGATCAACTACTGCTTAATCTAACCTGTGTTTACTTTTAATTCTTTTACTATTTGTTGACATTTTAGAAATACAGTTCTTGTTCTCTAAGAAATATGGCACTTAAAGTTCCTGAAATTACTTGCCAAATTGTTGGGCTTTTGTCTCATATATTTCTTAGGTCTTTGGAACAACTAGAGATTTATCTTTACCCATGTTCCGGTTTTATCTTTTTGAGTCTTTTTTTTCTCACAGTGGTCTGTAGTCAATTTAGGCCAATCTCTGTGTGAGTATTATGTGTGAGTATTATATATCGCTATGCCTCTTGGCAGAGGTGAATAACTTTTCCTTTTTATAAGAAGAATATAATTTTCCTCATTCCCAGTAGACATTAAGCTTATTAGCTACTTACCTTTTTGATAATTTGCATTCATTTTCTCTATAGCAACAAAATGTCTGACTTGGAAGGAGAAAAAATTAGTTTACACCCCAAGTTACCTTTATAAAAGGTTATATATTTCCTCTAATAATTATGTAAAAAGCAAACACTGAAAAATAGTGTGATAAGTCATAAAAATAAAACTAAAAATGGCGTTAATCACAGGTGTAGTCAAACCCCAGTGATTGTTACAAAATCTGTCAAGACTCATATGACTAAAATTGTGATTACTATATACATAGTTTTATTATTTTTAAGCACAGTGTAAAGTTTAAGGAACATTTAAGAGTAATTGTTATTAGCAAATTATTAGCAAGTTATTTCTAAAGTCATCTTAAAATGCCTTATTTATTTATTTGAAAAGGGTAGAAATCTCTGGTCACATTTACTTTGTTCCACTCTACTAAAAGGGAATAAGTATCCCATTATTTTATGATCAAAACATATGTGTGACTGTGTGCACACAAGTATAGACATGAATTCACACAGTTCCATTAATAACAAGGTATGTCCTTGGTGGGTACTGTTAGCTGAATATCAAGCAGTTGAATCATTTCATTTTCTTCCTGGAAAAGTTATTTGTCAAGGATTGGTAAATTATTGCCCTCGCAGCTCAGGGCAACCATGTTCCCAATGAGATCTAAGGAGAATTCCACTTAGGGGCTTCTAGGAAAGGTGTTTCTTTCTGTAGAAAGGGTCAGGTGCAAAAAGACAGCTCCTTGGTTCTGCCCCTTGCCCCATTTTCCTGCCATGAATGCAATTCTGTGAGAGAATGATTGTGGCTCTGTGGCAGCTATCTTGGTTGAGCCGGTGAGGCAATAAGCCTAAGGGAAAAAAAATTCATCACATATCTTGGATGATAGAAGATAGAGAAATGATACAAAGGATGAAGGGAGAATAAGAAGAAGCCTACATCTCTGATAACATCAGTTCGTTACTGCACCAAATCTGGAACCATTTACCTAGAGTTTCACTGTGTGTGAGATAATTAAAAGTTACCCGTGCTGATGTCCCTATTGGCAGCTGAATGCTAACTGATACATTACCATACTTTCTGACTCATTCCTGATGTCACGTTTCATTAGTAAGTATAGCAGATATCCAAACCCAGGCTTTTGGATTCAAAGTCTGGGGTTTTCCTGGCCTTGCTGTCTCCCCATATTGTCATAATCTGGGAAATAAATCTACATACTGTGAAGTAATAACATACACTACTTATTTTGAAGAATTTCCCTACTCTGATTTAAAGCCCTGTTTCTCTCTTCACCCCTTCTGGACTTACCCTGCTCATGATTTGTCCAACAAATTCTGGGTGTGAATTTCCCTTTATAGTCACTTGTAACTGAATGTCCATTTGCTGTATTATGACTCTGGGCATGTACCAGACATCACCTTATATTTCCTCCTCTTTATAAGAGGATAATTTATATTAACCTCTTCACATATTTCATACTCTTGTTGGGTGGGGAGGAGCTCATGGGGTAGGGCTTAACTCATTATCAACATTTGGCTTTTTAAAATTATTTTTATTTATTTATTTCTTACGACAGAATTTAGCTCTTGTTGCCCAGGCTGGAGTGCAGTGGTGCAGTCTTGGCTCACTGCAACCTCTGCCTCCTGGGCCCAAGTGATTCTGTTGCCTCAGCCTCCCGAATAGCTGAGATTACAGGAGGGCACCACCACACCCGGGTAATTTTGTATTTTGAGTAGAGATGGGGTTTCACCATGTTGACCAGGCTGGTCTCGAACTTCTGACCTCAGGTAATCCACCCGCCACAGCCTCCCAAAGTGCCGGGATTAAGGCATGAGCCACTGCGACTAGCCATTTGGCTTTTTTAAACTAGTGGATGTTCCATAGGTGTTCACGTGTTTTTGTGTGTTGTAAACATTTAATAACCACTACTAATAAGAACACAGATGAGTTTGTAAAGCTTGTGAAATTGCCCTGCTGATGGAAATTTGGCTTGCAAGCATTCATGCGGGAGAGAAGGTGGAGATTGAAGCAGCTCACGATTGCCTGCCAAAGTTGTCTGCATCTCAGTTGGAGGGGATTCGAAGCGTGCTTTAAATCTTTAACTAAGAAACTTTTAAGTATAAAAGTAAAGTATATATGAATTTAGCATTTGAATTTTTTTTTTCTAATTTACTGTCTACTATATGACATACGTATAGAAATTACATACTGAATCAGGGCCATAATGAGATATTACATTTCCTCTTGGCTTTATTTGTAGAGAAATGGGCGTGTTCAACATTTTTCTTCAATGTCTTTCTAGATATGAAATGTTGAAGATTACCATACTTTCTGACTCATTCCTGATGTCACGTTTGATTAATAAGTATAGCAGATTTACTTCTGACCTCAGGTGATCCACCTGCCACAGCCTCCCAAAGTGCTGGGATTAAGGCATGAGCCACTGTGAGTGGCCATTTGACTTTTTTAAACTAGTGGATGTTCCATTAGTTTAATGGAACGTTTGATATAGATGTTTGCCATGTGTGTGACTGAAATCTAATTATAGAGTTATTTGTGTACTCAAAGAAACTACAGTTTCTCCAGTCAGAGCTTATGACCAAACGACACTACAATGCACTTGTTAAGAATGCTGCATTAAGCTGGCGTGGTAGCTCACGCCTGTAATCCCAGCACTTTGGGAGGCCTAGGTAGGCAGATCACGAGGTCAGGAGATAGAGACCATCCTGGCTAACACAGTGAAACCCCGTCTCTACTAAAAAATACAAAAAATTAGTCAGGTGTGGTGGCAGGCCCCTGTAGTCCCAGCTACTCGGGAGGCTGAGGCAGGAGAATGACGTGAACCTGGGAGGCAGAGCTTGCAGTGAGCCGAGATCGCGCCACTGCACTCCAGCCTGGGCGACTGAGGGAGTCTCCGTCTCAAAAAAAAACAAAAAAACAAAAACAAACAAACAAAAAAAACAAAAAAAAAAGAATGCTGCATTAGGAAACACGAGAAAGCCCTCTGAGTACACTGTAAAACTGAGTTATAGGGAAGCAGAGTAGGGATTTGCAAAGATACTGATTAGGGGAAAAATGATCCTAGGGCAGTGGGACCTCAAGTCTCAGTCAATGAAATGTATCCATATATTTAAAGAAAAATGCGTGCCCAACAGATGGGAGATTGAGAAGCCAGAAAAGCATAAGAAATCATAGAAGAACTATTTGCTGTTAAACCAAGACTTGTCTGAAGGAGACGATGCTCAGAACCAGGGTAGATTTCCAAGGGCAGGCATATTATTATTATTGTTAGTATTATTAGCTTCTAGTATATATTGGTTGTTTTCTACATCAGATGCTACACATTTTATGTATCATGTAACTTAATGCTCATAAAAACTCATGAATGTAGGCACTACTATTTACTTTATAAATGAGGATATTAAGGTGAAAGGAGATCAAGTTGGTTATCTAGGAGACTAGAACTAGTAAGTGGCAGTGTTAGTATCTGAACTTAGCCTGGAGAGCCTGTACATATAACCACAATTATGAGAACTTACAAGGACAAAAGAGGATTCTGTCCTCGATTTTGCAAAGAGGATCAGAATTTGTGACTAACTCAATAGTATGTGTCAGAATTAAGACAATAACTCAGGTCTTGTGAATCTTAGTTCGATGTGTTTCTAGCATACCTGAATTCTTCTCCATAGGCAAGTCATTAAAGATAGTCCAGTAAAGAGTAGATTGCCTTCAGGTTTGGGGCAGCAATGGAGAACAGTATTCTCTGGAAGAAAGTCACTATGCATTGCTCACACTTAAGGAGTGGAGAGTTATTCTCCACTTTCTTGAGGGCAGAACTGGAGATTTGTCTGTTTTTCCCCATTTATTTATTTTTTCAATCATTTATTTCTGTCAGTATCGACTCATGGGTATTCATGTTATATTTTGAGTTATAATCCAAAAGATTTTATTTATCTTTTTGCTCAAATTGTGCCAGCATTAGCCGTTGGGAGAATGTTCTCTTGGCCCCTTTGTCCTCTTGACATGCCCATAATTGTGGATTCTTTTTTAT